ACGGTTACATTGGGCGTGGCTAGCCTAGTGAAAAGAAGGATAAGGGGAGACATGATCACAGTGTCCCAATATTTGAGGGGCTGCCACAAAGAAGAGGGAGTCAAGCTATTCTTCAAATAGGCATCAAGAGGCAGGACAAGAAGCAATGGGTGGAAACTAATCAAGCAGAGAAGCAATCTAGAACTAAGGAAAAATTTCCTAACAGTGAGAACCATTGACTAGTGGAACAATTTGCCTCCAGAAGATGTGAATGCAAAACAAGAAACAATGAAGCAAACTGGAATTAAGGAGAAACTTCCTAACAATGAGGACAAGTAACCAATGGAGCAGCTTGCCACCAGAAGTTGTGGGTGCTCCAACACTGGAGGTTTTAAGAGATTGGACTGAAATTTGTCTGAAATTGTATAGGGTGTCCTGCCTGAGCAGCAGGTTAGACTAGAACAGGGGTCGGCAATCTTAAACACTCAAAGAGCCACAAATGTCAGAATTGGAAGCCCCCTGTTCAATTCTGGAGCCGACCAGAAGTCCAGTTCCCCCACCATAGAGTCTCCTCCTAGCATGGCCTCCTTTTTCCTCTACCTGTCCTAACTGAAAGCCCTGTCAATTGTATAACCGACTTGTGACAGGGAGCCACAGCAGAGGGATGAAAGAGCCACATGCGGCTCCAGAGCCGCGAGTTGCCGACCTCTGGACTAGAAGACCTCCGAGGTCCCTTCCAATTCTGTTATTCTGTTTTCAGGACACACTTGTTGTTGTTATTCAGTTATGAGGTCCTGTCCTGTCCTTTATAGGTGGTTCTGGGCCTCCATCCCAGCCCCCCTTTGTTCCCCAGCCTACCTCCTTTCCCCCGTCTCTCCCTTGCAGAGCTGATCCAGACGGAGCTGCATCACGTCCAGACGCTGAAGATCATGACCAACCTCTTCCGCAAGGGGATGCTGGAAGACCTGCAGATGGACGCTGCGGTGGTGCAGAGCATGTTCCCCTGCGTGGATGAGCTCAGCGAGATCCACGACGGATTCCTGGTCCAACTTTTGCAACGGCGGAAGGAATCGCTGGCGGAAGGCAGCAGCAAGAATTTTGTAATCAGCCGCCTGGGAGACCTCCTGATCCAGCAGGTACCGGAGGGATCCTCCTTGGGAAGAACTTCTCTGGCCCCCTCATTTCTTACTATTTGTTTGTATCCTGCTTGCATTATTATTTTATAATCAAAGCGGCAAACATATCTACTAGAGCAGTGTTTCTCAACCTTGGCCACTTGAAGATGTCCGGACTTCAACTCCCAGAATTCCCCAGCCAGCATCCGGACATCTTCAAGTGGCCAAGGTTGAGAAACACTGTACTAGAGGTACTCCTTGACTTATACCGTTCGTTTAGTGACTGTTCAAACTTACAACGGTACTGAAAAAAAAAAGGGATTTATGACTGCAAGACTCCCCCATGGTCCCAGGATCAAAATTCAGATGCTCGGCAACTGGTTCATATTTATGACTATTGCAGCATCCCAAGGGTGTGGGGGTGTGTTCCTGTGAATCCCCTTTTGTGACCTTCTGCCGAGCCAAGTCAACGGGGGAACCAGATTCCCTTAACAATAGTGTTAGAACTGAACAAGTGCGGCTGTTCACTTAACCACTGTGGCAAGGAAGGTCGTAAAATGGGGCAAAACTCAATCAAGTTTTCAGCAACAGAAAGTTTGGGCTCAATTGTGGTCGTAGGTCGAGGACTACATACAACAGCAACCCAATGAAATGAGTTGGGTGGAGAGATGGTGACTGACTCCAGGTCACCCAGCCAGCTTTCGTGTGTAAAGCAGAACTAGAACTCACCATCTCCTGGTAATTGGCCACAAATCACCCAGCCAGCTTTCATGCCTGAGGTGGAACTAGAACTCACTGTCTCCTGGTGATTGGCCCCAAATCACCCAGCCGGCTTTCATGCCTGAGGCGGAACTAGAACTCACTGTCTCCTGGTGATTGGCCCNGCTGTACAGTAGAAATCATTTTAAGGCACAAGAGGCTGTATCGTAACAGGTACAAATCTCCCTCCAGTGCCCATTGGCACGTTCAGGTAGCCCCCAATGACCACAACGGAGCCCCAAATTTCTGTTGCTAAGTGAGACATTTGTTAAGTGAATTTAGCCCCATTTTTCGACCTTTCTTGCCACCGTTGTTAAGCAAATCGCCAGAGCTGATCAGTTAGTACTAACACGATTGTTCAGTGAACCTGGCTTCCCCATGGATTTTGCTTGTCGGAAGGTCGCAAAAGGGAAATCGCGTGACCTTGGGACACAGCGGTGGCGTAGGGTCTCCTGCCTAAGCAGGGGGTTGGACTAGAGGACCTCCAACGTCCCTTCCAATTCTGTTATTTTATAAGTGTGAGTTGCCAAGCGCCTGAATTTCGATCATACGATCCTGGGGACGCTGCAAAGGTCATAGGCATGGAAAACAGCTCAACGTCCCTTTTTTTCCAGTGTCATCGTAATTTTGAACGGTCGCTAAACGGACTGTTGTAATCCGAGGACTACCTGTAGACACCCTTGCTCTTTCTTTCTTCCCCCAGGAGCTGAAGTCCTTTACAGCCAGTTGATGAGCGACTTTGAGATGGACGAGAAGGATTTCGAGGCCGATTCCTGGAGCCTGGCTGTAGACAACAGCTTCCTGCAGCAGCACAAGAAGGAAGTCATGAAGCGGCAAGACGTCATCTATGGTGAGCTCTCCCCCCGCCTCAACATACGCCCCTCCCCAACGACAGAGGCCAACCCCAACTTTCCTGGGAAGCTATGAGAGGAAGAAAGGCCAGACGGTCCCCCAGCCATCAAGACCACAACGGGTTTTCTTCTCATGCATTCATTACATTTCTCTACCATGCTCTACACTAGTGTCAGCCTTGGGAAAATGAGTGCAACGTTGAAAAAGTGTTGTAAAAACTTAACCAGAGTAATGAGGGTGGTGAGAAGTGCAGTAGTAGTAGCAGTAGGGTGAGTAGTGAGGGCCCAACAACACCACTCTTTAACTTTAACTTCCACAGATTAACAGAGTTGGAAGGGACCTTGTAGGTCATCTAGTCCAAACCCCTGCCCAAGCATCCCTGACAGAGGGCAGTCCAGTCTCTTCTTGAAAGCCTCCAGGGATGAAGCTCCCACAACTTCCGAAGGCAACTTCT